TTTCGATTAAAGACAAGTGTTGTTCATTTGATCGTGGTGATATTTTTTATGGTAGCGGTCCATTAGAGAATGGGCTTTATGTTTTGAACCAAAGTATGCCTGTCTATAACATTAGTACCAAGAGATTTAAGTCAAATGACTCAAATCCAACTTTTATTTGGCATTGTCGTTTGGGCTACATAAATGAGAAACGCATTCAAAAGCTTCATAGTGATGGACTTTTGAAATCATTTGATTTTGAATCTTATGAAAAATGTGAATCTTGTTTGTTGGGAAAAATGACTAAAGCTCCTTTTAATGGACACAGCGAAAGGGCTAACGATTTGTTGGGCCTTATACATACCGATGTATGTGGACCAATGAGTATAAATGCCAGAGGAAACTATCAGTACTTTATCACATTTACTGATGATTTCAGTAGATATGGTTATGTTTATCTAATGAAGCATAAGTCTAAATCTTTTGAAAAGTTCAAAGAATTTTAGAATGAAGTAAAAACCAACTTGGCAAAAGAATCAAAGCCCTTCGATCAGATCTAGGAGGCGAATACTTAAGCCAAACTTTTATTGATCATCTGAGAGAATGTGGAATTGTTTCACAGCTCACTCCTCCAGGAACGCCACAATGGAATGGTGTGTCTAAGAGAAGAAATCAAAATTTATTGGATATGGTTCGATCTATGATGAGTCATACAGATCTTCCGTTATCCTTTTGGGGATATGCTCTAGAGACGTCTACGTTTACGCTAAATAGATATCCATCAAAATCAGTAGAGAAGACACCATATGAGATATGGACTAGAAATGTTCTTAATCTGTCTTTTCTGAAAATTTGGGGTTGTGAAGCTTATGTCAAATGTTTGATTACTGATAAGCTTGGACCCAAATCTGATAAATGCTACTTTGTTGGTTATCCCAAAGAAACCAAAGGTTATTACTTTTACAACCCTGCTGAGAACAAAGTGTTTGTTGCTCGAAATTATGTCTTTTTAGAGAGAGAATTTATTTCTAAGAGAAATAGTGGGAGTAAAGTACAACTCGAAGAAGTTCGAGAAACACAGGAGGTTAGTGCAACTTCTGAGGAAGAGCATCAATTAGATTTACGAAGAGTCGTAGAGTCTACACCTGTGGAACCTGAGGTACCTAGGTCCGAGAGGACTCGTCACGAACCTAATAGATATGGGGTTTGGGTGACAGATGATCATGATCCATTGATTATAGAGAGTGATGAACCTACATCTTTTGAAGAAGCAATGATGGGCCCTGATTCCAAAAAATGGCTTCAAACCGCAAGATCTGAAATGGGATCCATGTCAGAAAACAAATTATGGACTTTGGTGGATTTACCTGATGGTGTTAAAGCCATTGAGTGTAAATGGGTTTTCAAGAAGAAAACAGACATGGATGGTAATATATTGATATACAAAGCTAGATTGGTTGCTAAAGGTTACAAACAAATTCATGGTATAGACTATGATGAAACCTATTCTCCAATCGCAATGCTTAAATCCATTCGGATTCTCCTAGCAACTGCCGCTTATTATGATTATGAGATATGGCAAATGGATGTGAAAACAGCTTTCCTTAATGGAAATCTCGAAGAGGATGTGTACATGACACAACCTGAAGGTTTCACAGTTCCTGAGACTGATAGGAAGGTATGCAAGCTTCAACGTTACATTTATGGATTGAAGCAAGCATCTCGGAGGTGGAATCTTCGTTTTAATGAGGCAATCAAACAGTTTGATTTTGTTAGAAACGAAGAAGAACCGTGCGTTTCCAAGAAGACTAGTGGGAGCGCAGTTACATTTCTAGTTTTGTATGTAGATGACATACTTCTCATTGGAAATGACATTCCTTTGCTTCAGTCTGTCAAGACTTGGCTAAGTAGTTGTTTCTCAATGAAAGACATGGGAGAAGCTGCTTATATTCTTGGAATACGAATCTATAGAGATATATTAAATAAGCTTATTGGACTATGTCAAGATACTTATATAGATAAGATTTTGCATAGGTTCAGTATGCATGATTCCAAGAAAGGTTTTCTACCAATGTCTCATGGCATTACTCTCAGCAAGACGCAGTGTCCTTCGACACATGATGAGCGAGAGCGCATGAGTAGAATCCCATATGCTTCTGCTATAGGATCTATTATGTATGCCATGCTCTGTACTCGTCCAGATGTTGCATGTGCTTTAAGCATGACGAGTAGATACCAATCCGATCCCGGTGAAAGTCACTGGACAGCAGTCAAGAATATTCTTAAGTATTTAAGAAATACTAAAGATAAATTCTTGATTTATGGAGGAAGTGATGAGCTTTTTATGAGTGGTTATACTGATGCTAGCTTCCAGACAGATAAAGATGATTTTTTATCACAATCTGGATTCATCTTTTGTCTTAATGGAGGAGAGGTGAGTTGAAAAAGCTCCAAGCAAAGCACCGTAGCAGACTCTACAACCGAAGCTGAATACATCGCTGCTTCTGAAGCAGCAGAGGAGGCTGTTTGGATTAGGAAGTTCATTACTGAACTAGGTGTGGTTCCTAGCATATCTGGCCCGGTGGATCTTTATTGTGACAATAATGGAGCCATCGCTCAGGCGAAGGAACCTAGATCACACCAGAAATCCAAACACATAGAAAGACGATATCATCTCATTCGTGATATTGTTGATAGAGTAGATGTTAAGATTAGCAGAGTCTCAACGGATGCAAATGTTGCTGATCCTTTGATGAAGCCTCTTCGCAGGCCTAAGCATGAGAGCCATACAGCTGCTATAGGCATTAGATCATAAAGATGTAATCTTATTTTTAATGGGAGACTTTCTTTTGATGATATGATGTTCATGTGTTACATACATTTGATTTTATTTTCAATTAATAAAATTAGTTTCAGTATTATTTTATTATTGGATAATTGAATAATAGTCCCAAAATAATTTATTGTCATTCTTATAGATCATCAAGTACGTGACTTGATCATGAAACTCTATAAGTGAAAGATTACTTAAATTATTGAGGTCCCTAGTTGAGGTTATTAAAATGGGACGTTAATAACTAAGAATGACTAGTATGTGAGGTGACTGATGACTAAGTTTCGTGAAGTCATTAATATGTTGTATTAAAGTCAATCACATAGATATGTGTTAGAGAACACAGTATTGGACTGACCCGCTATGAGAAATCTACAAGATTGTATATGAGTGTCAGAAGAGTTTCTCATCACGACTATAGTGAGTTCGTCATGATTTCTTATACATGGACTGGTTCGCTTTGACTCTGTCAAATGTCAGCCGTAAAATGGGATTATAAAGACAGTGATTGGGCGCATTATGAATTGTGTAAGGAACAGGGATGGAACAAGATGGAATTTTTCCCTCCTATATAACGGGAGATAAATATCTATGGGCCTATCGAAGATTTGATACTGAGAAATGCATGGCCGTGGTCAAACGAGGTGAATGTCAGTCGTTTGTTTGATCAGTATAAATCGGAGTTCGATAAACATTATCTAGCTTAATAAGGATGACAGAGTTTCTTGCCTTATGCTCAGATCGAGATATAGAGAAAAATGAATTATAGGAATAGATGATTCCAGTACAAGTGGGAGATTGTTAGGAATGTCTTAAGATCATCCGTACTTTTCTAGTTGAAGTTGTAACGTCAAGGTTTGACAATCGTATAATATTAGGTGGTTATAATGTTTTGCTAGAAGCCGTTTGTAATCTACGGATTATGAATACATACTAATATTATACGATCTTACAAAGTTACACACCTAAGCAAACTAGATCGATAATATGTTGGGTTTGAGAATAATATATGTTATATTAGATATAACATATGGTTCATATATATATATATATATATGAGATAAAAGAATAATATATGTATGCTATATATGATGGCACACACGTGATGAGCAAAAGATTAGGTTTAAGTAACCGACTCTTATTAAAAGAGTTTGGCCTTTGGCCCATTAAACGTTAATGAGTTAGGTCAACATGATTTCACATTATAAGGGATATAATGAGATGTTTAAATATAGCAGCCTCTCACGTACAAAAAAAACCCAACATAATACAGAGACATATAGTTTGTCAAGCATTGAGATCTGATCTCTACAGTACTAGCATCCCGTTTTGATCTAGTTTGTATGCGTGTAAATATCGGTAGAGGCACGACGTTTGGAGTGCTACACAATCTTGTTTTTTCTGTTTATCTTTCCGCTGCAGGTATATTCTAAATTTGATGACCTAGATTCAATTTAATATTTGCTTGAGATCTTGGAAACAGAATTCATGATTAATTTTATAAATCGTTATAAATCGGTATGAATTCCAACATCATAAGGTTTATACAAGATGGATTAGGTCTTTTTTTTTTAAAAAAAAAAAAACAAGATGGATTAGGTCTAGCTAAACTTGGGGAACAAGCTAACAAAACCTAACAATATTGTTAGCCCAGTCGTCTTCGGCTCATAGCGAGTTAGCGACATCCGGTAACAGCTATTTCATCTTGGTTTGGTTAAAGGTTTAATCTCGGTTTATCTCTGGTTCAAGAAGTTGGAATTGATTAAGTGATTTGAAGTTGGATTTGATTCAAGTGATTAGAACTAAGCAGCCAAGGCCAAGAGCAAGCAGGAAGGAGTAAGTTGGATTAGATTTATATATGGGCTCCGAATAAACTGAAAACAGGCCCAAAAGAAACTGCTACCAAGTCTGTTAGAAGAATCGAAGCAACAGAGTACTTTTGTTTTGATTTATATAAAACGAAACAGAGGACTTCTTCTTCTTCTTCTTCTTCTTCTTCTTCTTCTTCTTCTTCTTCTTCTTCTTTCTTGTACTCTTGTGATCTTCTTTTATATGGAAATTTTGTAATGATTACGCCGATCAATAACTCTTTACAATACAATTACTATATCCACTTCTCCGCCTCTATTTACGATTTGGACTTTAAAAAGTTCAAGGGAAACAAATGATTACATAAAGGTTTTTTTTGCTACGATGATAACATAAAGTTATTCACCATTCCTCTGATTATATCTTTATCACTTGCTATATATATTTTCAAGCTTCTCTTTATATACTTGATGAGTTATCACAAGCTACAGTAACACTCTTCTCTTTATATGCTTTGATGAGTTCCTGTATCACACTTCTTCACTCAAGATGTTGTTGATTTCTTTGTTCAATGGTGGATCAGGAACATCTTTTATCATTAGACTCTGCAAGAAACCAATCATCTGCGCATGCAAAAATAGTTTGGTCCGTCATTATAACTCATTATATACAAGCAAATCAAAGTACTCGTCATCGATAAAATGGCCATACCGAGGACAAGGCGATGCAGAGAAGGCTGAATCCTGGGAAGTAGAAAGGTGCGTCTTTGGAGAGAAACAATGCTATATATACATGGAAACCAAATTATATATTATGTGTCAAAAAGACTGTTGGCAAAAAATTTTTTTTTTTTTTAAATGTGTCAAAGACTGAAAGAAACTTAGCAGTATGTTGTGTTCTTACGGCTTCACTAACCTGTCAATGGACTGAATACAAAAGGTGCCACGACTTTGCCAAAGGACTTAACTCCAGAAATGCATCCTTGTACTTTCCCCTTCACCAATTCAATTCGTTTCGCGTTTTGAAGGTCTTGTTTTGTGTGCAAGATTCAATCATTAATTAGAACAAGATATATACTATATATAGTTTTTACCTGTTCACCGGGTCCGACTTGTCTTGAGGCAATACCACAAGCCTATAACCAAATTGTTCAAACTCTACATTAAGTAGCAAAAACTCACTAATGTTAAGGACTAATTAATCAAGAGTCTTACTGATGGCGTCACAATTATTGCTCCAGGTATAAACACAGTGGTGATGAGATAAGGAACCTACGAAATTAGAAACAAAAACAAAGCATAAAAGCAAAATAATATAAGATTGAACATTGAGTCAGGTCCTTAGTTTCCACCTACTCACCCATGGTGCCCAAGAAATGCTTACAATGGCCATCTGCATCACAAACACATGCATGCACCAATTTCATTATCTATATATGCCAAAATCAATTATTTAGAATGTTATCATTAGAAACAAAATCAAGAAAAAAATTATATACTTACGTTTATGACTTCCATTAACAGCCCAGTTGATAAAAGCTTGCGTTCTCCAATAACAGAAGCAAATCTTGGCAGTATAAACAGCTGAGAAAAACATTTAGCAATACATATCAATTAAACTACACAAAGTATAAATGCTATGTTTACATGTTGTTTTACGTATAATAACTCTTAATTTAATTACTTGAGTGATTGACCCAACGATAGTAATCAACATCATGAGATCAGCAAACTGGTTCTTGTCAAATCCAAACCGTGCTTTTAGAAAATACTGCATAATATAAAACTTTTGTTCAGAATAGTTGATGATTAAAAAAAGAATAAAAAAATAGCATTATGTAAAACAAAGAGTAAATAATATTTGAGCCAAACCAAGAAAGCAGATTGCATTCCACTATCTGAGAAACTGCTGAAGAATGTAACAACCAATACTTGAACGAATATGGTACTGCATTATGAAACCCATATCCATCAATTAGAATGATATATATATATATATATATATATGTATATATATATGAGTACATATATGTAGATAAATAAAGGCATATATAAAAATGTACCTAGTCTTCATCAAGCTTATCATATCTTTCAATGAAGATTGCTTCTTGATAAAGACGACCCTTTTAATGGTTGTGTCGTTCAAAATCGGCTCTGCTAACATTGTGATATCATTACTATTATGATCGTCTTGATGATGATGATCCTCACCATCATCATCATTGTTAAGCCTCTCCTTCAAGAAAACTCTCATGTACACCAGACCAACGAGAAATGATATAGCAGAAACCTAATTTATCCCCCAAAACAATAAGCCTCATATATTTTCCTAATACCGATTATATTTTGGATCTCAAGATGATTTTATATTAATGATGATTGTATACCTGAAAAATCAAAGCTATGGGTAGAAAACGGGCAACTAAAGTTCCACAAAGTGCAGAAATTGTTTTGGTACCACCTAAAATACTAAAAGCTGATATTCTTGTTCTGTCGTGAATATTTTCTGCCTGAAAAAAAGAAGAAATCAAAAAAGTAAGGAGAGTGATGTTACAAAAGTTAGAGGTATGTAGTGTAATTGTAACAACAATATATTAAAAATTTTAAATAACTCATAATGAAGGAAAAAAAATTACCACATAAGCAAAAGCGAGGCAGTCAACGGCGCCTTCGCATACCAAGGCGGTCAGAATCTTGATTATATAATACAGGTAGAAAAAATTTGTATCCCTTCTGTACCCTAAAATTACTGCAAAAAAATTCATTTTTTAGCCGCATGTTCTTGCTTGTTTTTCTTTAATCATATCAAAATATATCTTAAGAAATGTTTTTAACAAAAATTAATGAAAATTACGAAAAATGCTTATCTCTCTTTGGGTTATTGTAAATTTTTAACAATGTAGCGTCTCTTTGGAAAAGAGTATACACATTGGACAGTAGAATATCGACATTGGATTACTTGAATTATAAAAACAAAGCAAAAAAAAGGTTAATGGTCCAACTGTTTTGGTTTTGTTTTTATTAAAGAAAAAAGGACGATGGTCCAATTTCTTAAATATATAGTTTTTTAATTAAAGATATAGTGATGCATGATTGCATGGTCCAATTGGAATCTGTTTATTTAAATAGACTCATAGTGGGCACCGAACCATTAGCCTTCGACCATCAAGAGCATGAGGTGTATGCTGACGCTGCACTACGAAACCAGTCTCATGTTGTCTCCTCCTGCAAATGTCTCTAAAATTGATAAACTAGAATCTTCGCTAAAGTTCGAAATTCGAACCAGCTCCCAAGTCTCTAATTTTGCGTGTATATATTTTTCAAAAATAGAATGAATTTTAAAATTTTCTTTACAAAATTTATTATATTTTTTGTCGCCAATTTTATTTTATTTTATAGCACCTTATATTTACAGGGTTTTGTTTTTTCTTATCACACGCGACGAACAACAAACAAACAAAAAAAAAAAAAAAAAAAAATTTATTGCACCTATTCTCTCTCCTCCTTTTCTCTCTCGAGAGAAATCAGATCTGAAACTTTCTCTTGCAGACACCTTAAAGGATCCTTCCGATCTCCCTCTCCGGCGCCCGTGGTGGCTCACCGTCACCGGAGGAGGGACTCTGATGGCCTCCTCTTTCGTTTGTTAGGTGTTTTGTCTCAATTCGGCCGTCGGCTCGGTGTGGCGTCAAAGTGAAGTTTCTCCGGTGTGTAGTCTTCGTTCGACGGCGACGGAGCTTCAGTGGCGTCGCTGGGGTTGCGGTGGTGGAAGGCGATCTCCTTGTGGTGATGCGCCTCTCTGCCGTTCGCGTCGTTCAATCTCGGTGGGGTTTGCTTTCTTTGGTGTTCACCGGTGTTTCCCTCCAACGGTCTCTTTCGGCTTTTCTTTGCGAGTCCTCGTCGCCGGCGGCGAGCTCTCCGATTTTCCTCGGTGGTGTAGTTCGTCTCTCCCCGGTTAAAGTCCATCTCTGCCTCGTTTTGTTCATAGCGGTGTTCCCGAGGCATAGGTGTGGTGGCGATGTAGGCTTTGATCTCCTCGGCTCCAGCGGCAGCGATTCGGACCTAGAGGACGGGTTCAGTCTCTGGTTTTGGTTTCACAGGAGAGGTTTGGCTTGTGGCTAGCCTCGGAGTGGTGGCTCTCGTTTCTTCCGGCGTGTGTGGCTCCACCAACAGTGTCTCTCGACGGTGGTTTTAGGCGGGTGGCTCAGCGGCTGTTCTCTCACCATGTTCGACGAAGTTTCCGGTGCCGTCTTTTCACCGTTGTGGCTCGGGTTTCGCTGTGGGTGTGTGTTTGTGTTATCAGCAATTCTCAGCAGTTTCGCAGTTTGGTCTTGGTCTTGACTCGTGAGGGCTCCGATCGTGGTTCGGTGTAGATAGTGGAGCCTTTCGAGATGTGTATTGTAGAGGCCCCGGTCTGTTGTCCGGTTAGATTGTAGCTGTGGTGGTTGGTCCCTATGGAGGCTTCGGTTTCTACGGGAATGGTGGTTGGAAGTGACTTCTCCGATTACCGCTCAGACTTCCTTGTCACCGGTTGCAGTTTAGTCCGTTACGCATTTCGGAGATCGCGTCAGTTTTCGGAGAAGCTGTAGGTATTTTTTCCGGTGGTTAGAGGACGGGCCTCGGAAAGACGCTCGTGGCAACTATGATGTGAACTCCAGTTCTTTGAGCTGCAGCAAAAACGTGATGGTCTGTGCTTTTGCACGTGATTGCTGCTTTCTCATCTTGTTTGGTTTCGGTTTTAATTTTCTTCTCTTATTTGCTGGATTTTTGGCTTTTTTTGTGTTTCTGTTGTTTCTTTGTTGTTTTTGTGTGTCAATAGATTTTGGTTTTCTGTTTTCTTCGTTGTATCTCTGTATTGTCTGTAAAAAAAATCAAAAATTTGGTATAAAATTTAACATTTAACCCAAAAAAAAAAAAAAAAAAACAACAAAAATTTCTTTATAAATATTTTTTTTTTGACACTGTATATTCTTTGCAAATATTTTGTCCTTAAACCATATTACATTATTTTCAATAAAGAATCCATGCTTAAACGGTGCTGTTCATTTAAAAGCAGTTTCGGCTGAACCCAAACTGGAATAGCCGATGTTTGTAATCTTTATTATAATAAATAATTTGGACTTTAATTTTTTTTTTTAAATATTTAGTTAAGAAATTATGAGTTGGGAACTTAATATTATAAGACGGTCCAATTTTTTATTTCCCTAACTTTTTTGCTTTCTAAACTTCAAAGCCGACTCTGTTTACAAGTTATAAAAATTCCACCACGTATTTTCTGCAAATATTTTCCATAATTACATCATTTCAGCAAAGAACTCTGTTAAAACGATTTTTTTTGTATGTGCGGTTTAATTTTGTTAATTATGGTAATTTTATCTGCGTTTTCAAATATGTTAGATATTAATAGCACTTCGAATTTAGTTTTGAAAAATCATCTTTTTGGACAAGTTTTTTAAAAAATCATCTAAACTATAAAAGGAACAATCATCTAAACTATAGGCATGCACTTATCGTCGTAGTGGGGCAAATTAAGACTGTGTTCTTCCACGCGTTACTTTCATAATGAATATCCATAATATATGTATAAATATACTTTTTTGAATCCTGGATATTATGTAGTAAAACTAGACAGCGACTTCTAATTCTTGTGTCAGTTTGTTAATGTGTCTCGATATGTGTCTAACAAAGGAAAGTCTAACAAAGGAGACATAAGAAAAAACTAAGAAAAAAAATGAGAGAGAGATAGAGAGAAAGAGACAGAGAGAAAAAAACGGACCAGGAGGAAGAATGGAGAGACACATTGGAAGAGTGAGAATTGCTTTAATTCCATATCTGTCTGATAGATTACCAATTACTGGCATCATCACCATTGTCCCCAACCCTATTGCCTTCATTTTAACACACAAATATAATAAATATTGTTTAAAATCGGCTAAAATTAATAAAATTGAATATTAGTTTGATTTACATGGCCGACAAGAAAAAAAAAGGAATAATATGTTTTTCTTAGAAAAAAATATATCGCAATCTAACCAAAGAATAAAAGAATATCGCAATTTAACAAATCAAAGAAGTAATGAAATTTCTGTTCGAACAAAAAAAAAATTTTTTTATTGTTTTCCAAACCTTCCAAATGCAATACTTAATTTGTTAGAAACTTAAACCCTAACACTAAATTCGTAACAAAGATTTTCCCATGTGATTTTTTTTTTTTAAATATTAACTTTTTTTAAAAAAAATTCCATCGTCATTGTAATGTTATGGAAGCGTCTGTGATGTTTGGTTTAAGGCTTTAAGCAAAAGATTTTTAACCCAAAAAGAAAGAAAGAAAATAATATTTTTTTTTCACTCTTCGTCTAATTGCTTTCTCTCTTTCTTTTTTTTTTTGTGTGGATATTTTTTGGTCAAAAAAGGAAGAAAAAATCTTGAACAATCAAGAAATTCAGATTAAGGAAGAGTTAAGTAAGCATAAAAGATAAATGTAAGTACCACTTGTTGGAAACCGGTGAGGTAGACGGCGAGAGAACATGAGTCGTCTGGTCCGGAGCAAACGGCGGCGACAGTGACGTCAGTAATCACAGGTGCTACCATAAGTCCGGCGAAGCCAGAGAGGAACACGATCGTCAATATGTGTCTCAGCCCTACGAATCCGTCCTCCATCACCACAAAAACTAGAGAGAAAAGGAAACCAAGAATTTTTTTAATATGGTTTGTTCGATTTTGCCAAAAGGAAAATATTTATCATGCAAGAGAACACTTCACCAGTCGGCAGATATTTTGTTCAGTCTTTTGTTTCTTTTTAAAATTCGATTGATGATCACATCACATTGTTGAGGACATTTTGGTATTTTGTGGACTCCTTCAAATATGCCACTATCTCTTCTTTTGAACAATAAATTTTGTCACTATCTCTTGTGTTCATTTAAGTTACTCATTACTAATTACGTGACACGTTTTTATAACTATGATCGACATAGAGTTAAGGCTATGCAAATTATTTATAGCACCTGTTTCAATCAGTTTTTTTGGGATAATTATCTCTAGACGATTAGACCATTTGGAAGTCTCTTACAAGAATCTCTTAATTACTAAAAATAAAAATAAAATAATAAATGTTAATAAAATATTAAGAGTTTCTAAGAAAAGTGAGAAATTCATTCCAAAATCTCTCCTCTGGTAAAATATTTTTTATAGATGAGAAACTCTTATAAAAAGACTATTATGGTAGATGCTCTAAATATTTTAGGAAATAAATCCATACTAAATCCATATACTTATTTGTGTAGTGATTTGCTGATATATCGTGTTCACAGCGAGTTTCTCAGTGTTTCGCTTATGTGTCATCGCCAGAATAAGTTTCGGCTGCAAAAAAAATATTTTTAACTCATTTAGTTATTACGTGTATTTTTTTATTGGTTCTTATGTGATGATGTGTTAAAAATAATTTTTAAAAAACCGTTGTAAGTTGATATGATTTAGTGCTTAATTTCGCTGTCGAATTAAACCGTTTCTAAAAATGTATGAGTACAAGGAGAAGGTGAAACAAGCACAATTGGAAGAAGGTCATCAATATTACAAAGGAAGAGGTGATCGTAGATACGGTGAAGGATCGTTCAAAGGTGGAAGACCATCCAGCTATGTCCACCCAAAGGAGCTACAACAGCGTTTAGCGGTATCCTCAGAGGCTGTAAACAAGCCTAAGTATCAGGCAACCAGTACGAGAATGTCTGTATCGGAGCAGGCGGAAGTATCAGAAGGGATTAAGGCTATTCAGGCGGAGAACAAGGTGAGGAAGAGTCTGGAATTTGGAGATAATGAAGGTAACACTAGGGAGGAGACGGTTGCAAAGACGGTGACTAATGAGGGTGTGATGAGCATGGTTGAGAATGGAAAGATGTTGGAGAGCGATGGAACAACAGTTAATGAATGGGAACAGCTGTTGAACAATGATGACTCTTTGATGAATTTTGATATTGATAGTACTGTTGCAGGAAATTTTCAAGAGGTGATTCTTGAACATGAAGGACAAAAGCAACACATAGATTCGGTCATGGAATCAGGAGACGCTCAGTTGACCACAGATGTAGTGCGAGACTTGTTGGAGCAGGAAGAAGGTGAGTTTATCATGAACTCGGCTCAAGATGATACGGAGATGGGAGGAGAGGATATTGTCAAGACGGAAACAGAACCAAACCGAGAGGATGTTGAGGAAAAAGTGGAGTCAGATCTGGAAATCAAAGGAGACAAATCTGGAGCAAAAAAGAAGATTATAAAAGGTAAGACATCGCTGATTGGAGGAAGCACCAAGAAGCGGATGGTTCAAACTTTGATCTCCCCTCGTAAAAAGCCATCTGTCAAGGGTTCCTTAAACCCGAAAATGAGACATAAAGACACAAAACCTCGGGTGATTGATGAGGATACTTAGTTGGAATTGCCAAGGTCTTGGGAGTTGGTGGACAATAAGCTATCTTCGGGAAATTTGGAAGAAGCATAGACCAGAATTTTTATTTATTTCAGAAACTAAGCAAGAATTTAACTTTCTACAAAAATTTCAATTCCATTTTGGTTATAATCAATTGTACACGGTTGAACCGTGCGGAGCTAGTTGTGGTCTTGCTCTTTTTTTATGATAATTCTTTGGATGTTACTATTCTTTTTTCGAATAACAGAATAATTGATGTTGAGGCAAAAATTCTCGGAAAAATGTATATCTATCTTTCATTTATGGAGATCCAGTTCCAAAATTACGGGACCAAGTTTGGGAACGTTTAACAAGAATTAGTCTTACACAAATGAAACCCTAGCTTATAATTGGAGATTTAAATGAGATAATCAGGAATAATGAGAAACAAGGCGGGCCATTAAGAAAAGCCTCTACATTTGTGTCTTTTAACACTATGATACGAGATTTTGGCTTTCTGGAATTTCCATGTTTAGGAAATACAATGTCTTGGCGACGAAGGAGGAACTCAAAATTGGTTAGATGCAAGTTGGATCGGGCTTTAGCTAATGAGAATTGGCATGATATATGCACACATTCATTGGTCGAATATCTAGCAATGATTGGATCGGACCATAGACCAATAGTTACTACAATAGCGATAAGCTTTCTCGTAAGAAAGCTTAATTTAGATTCGATAAAAGATGGCTAGGGCAAGAGGGTATTATGGACACGATTGTTAAAGGTTGGGATTTGAATCATGGGGGAGGGGGGGGGCAGAAACCTTATTTGTGGACAAAATTAGGAATTGTCGTTGAGAAATATCTAAATGGAGATTTAATCTTAAACCATATGGACAGGAAAAGATTGATGACCTGAAACAGGCTTTAGAGGAAATTCAAAATGATGGCACATGATCAGAAGAGGAAGTAATACCGGTCTCTAAAAAGCTAAGAGAAGCATATAAATACGAGGAATTATTTTGGCAACAAAAAAGTAGGACCAAATGGGCTTTACTTGGTGATAAAAATACAAAATTCCACCATGCAAAAGTCAAACAACAGAGAGCGAAAAATCGTATTATTGGTTTATACAATACAGCAGGCACATGGGTCATTTCGGACAAAGCGATTAAACAGGTGAAAGTTAATTATTTCGATGAATTATTCACTTCAACTTCTCCATCGGAGTTTGAAGAAGCATTAAGAGAGATAAAGCCTTTAATCACGGATAGTCACAATGCAATGCTCACCTCTAGGGCTACAGAGGAGGAGGTCCGTAGTGCTTTATTTATAATGAATCCGGAGAAAGCTCCAGGACCAGACGGAATGACTGCACTTTTTTACCAACGTTCATGGTCGTTCATTAAAACGGATATTGTGAACTTAGTCAATGGTTTCTTGGATTCTGGGGAATTTGACAAGAGGTTAAATATGACAAATATTTGTCTAATTCCAAAAACAGAAAGACCCACGAAAATGACAGAATTACAGCCTATTAGTTTATGCAACATCAGCTATAAGATCATTTCTAAACTACTCTGTCAAAGACTGAAACGTCTATTACCAGGTTTGATCTCGGAAACCCAATCGGCCTTTGTGGCCGGGCGGTTGATTTCAGATAATATTTTCATTGCTTAAGAGATGTTCCATTGATTACAGACAAATCCATCGTGCAAAAATAGATACATAGCAATTAATACGGATATGAATAAAGCTTATAATAGAGTTGAATGGTCTTTCATTAAACACTTATTACAGAGATTTGGTTTTGCGGAGAGATGGATAACATAGATGATGCGGTGCATTACATCTGTAAGATAATATCTTTTAAATGGACAGCATCGGGGCACATAACTCCAGGGATGGGACTCCGTCAAGGAGATCCACTTTCGTCATATTTGTTTATACTATGTACGAAAGTTTTAATTGCCAACATAAAGAAAGCTGAGGATGAGAAGTTGTTAACGGGGCTTAAGATAGCAAGAGCAAGCCCATCAGTATCACATCTACTTTTTGCGGATGATAGTCTATTCTTTTGCAAAGCAAACAAGGAAGAATGCCAAAAGATACTAAGCATTCTCAGACAGTATGAAGGAGTTTCGGGCCAACAAATGAATTTTGAGAAATCATCAGTTCAATTCGGACATATGGTCCCGGAGGAAATACAACAGGAATTGAAACAAATTCTGGGAATTACAAAAGACGGAGGCACAGGGACATATCTTGGCATTCCAGAGAATATGGGGGAGCCAAGACCAAGATTTTTTAATTTTGCCGTAGACAGACAACAAGATAGAAGTTAATAGTTGGACATCGAGGTTATTATCAAAAGGGGGAAAAGAAGTTCTAATCAAATCTCTGGCGTCTGCAATGCCAACCTTTGTTATGTCAGGCTTTCGGTTGCCCAAGTCAACAACAACAAAACTTACAAGTGCAGCAGCACGGTTCTGGTGGAGCTCTAGTGGACAACAACGAGGTATGCATTGGCTAGCATATAAAAAGATGTGTAGAGATAAGGCAGAGGGGAACGAGATTTCGTGATGTGGAAAATTTTAATACGACTTTATTGGCAAAAAAATTATAGCGTTTGATAGATAGACCTAATTCACTTTTTGCGCGAGTATTTAAGGGACGATACTTTCGGAAAACAAGTCCTTTAGATCCTGTACGTTCATATTCACCGTCTTATGGATCGCGGAGCATAATATCAGCTAGATCTCTGGTTAATAAAGGGCTAATAAAAAAACTCGGTTCGGGTTGCTCTATCTCTGTTTAGAACGATCTATGGATACCGTCTTCTCGCCTGAGATCAGCAACTTGTAAGGGTTTTAACTATTACCCGAATCTCATGGTTAATCACCTGATTGACCCACAAATAAATACATGGAATATGGGATTGATAACGGCCATTATTGATCCAATGGATGTCGAGATTATTCGTGGGATTCCCATTAGTAGATCTTACACGCCAGATTCATGGGGATGGCATTTCCCAAAATCTGGGAAGTATACGGTTAAATCGGGGTACAAAACTGAATATCAACTACCAGAGGAAACACTAGAGGTTGTATATGGGCTAAATATAACAGCATTACAAGCTCACTCTTGGACTCTAAAATGCCCTCCAAAATTACGACACTTTATATGGCAAGCAATATCCGGATGTCTCTCGGTGGCATCTAGGGTAAAATCCCGAGGAAAACAATGCGATACTCAATGTGCACGGTATGGAAATGATGAAGAAACAATCAATCATGTTCTGTTTGAATGTCCTCCGGCTCAAATTTGGGCTTTATCCTGGATCCCAACACCCTCTGGTGTT